GCTCGCCACTGCCATTAATTAGCCTCAGAAGGACGTTTTCCGTGTTTGCTGAGAGGAATTTGTTTCTTATCTGTATCCTAATTTTTATTCTGAGAGGAATTTTTATTCAAAATTGTGAAGTTTGTGTACTTATGTATTCACGATTTTGAAATGCACTTTTTTAACGTTCACACCTCATGCCCCAGCTCTGAAATAACATTAGCTCCGTATAGTTACAAGCATGGATGAATTGAGATTTATTCCTGTTGGTATATATACACATGTCAATGTAACGACGTGATTGTAACGACGATTGTAATTGGCCCTGCCGGAAATAAATGAAACATGAATTAAATAATAAATACAATCCTGGATGAGACATATAATTATCGGGGTGGGGCCCATCCCCACCCTCGCTTCCGACTACCCTACAGCAGGTTATTTGTTTTGTTTAGCTGGCTTCCTAATATCGTTTCAATGACGTATTTTATCTGGACGTTTCAGAAAGGTGATAAGAAGTTTAAATTAGATACATTTTGGTATGTCGAGGTAAGCCTGAACATGTTTTATGTCTTTTAAATACTATGATAGTCATTGCATAAAAAGAGTAATATTTTTATTAGAATTTAATGAAAAAGATTTTACAGTGATGATTTTACAAAATCTAAATGCAAGGATTTTGATCTTTGCGGTGACAGAAAAAAGTAAATCAGGGTGCGATAATTCGCTAGCTTGTGATCATGTCTTCTTTGGTAAATACGAGCCTTAATCTGGTCGCTTTCCACCAATAATATAGTTTTACAGTATCTTTAGTATCCAATCAAAATGTCCCAAGAGGAATGTCATATACTAAACATATGAATATATTATTATATAAATATTTCATGATGTCTAACTAGTAAGACTCCAATGAAAAGGAATAAGTAAGTTTAAGTAATTACTGTATACATATAAGTATTAAATGAAAAACCCAGACAGAAAAAAAACAAGGAAATCAGAGTGGGGGCTGGAAGTAGAGTAAGAAGGGGGACAGCTTGCTTGTTTAAAGAAGGTTTGAATTTGGAAATTAAAAGGCTTAAAATTTCGAGTTAAAATTTCATTAGGCTTGACGCAAGAAGAACGAGTTCCGAAGTTATCAATAGAAGATGTGTGCCGTGTGATATATTGTTGCTCTCTTTGCCTGTTAAGGCGGAAAGACCCATAGGTGTTTCGATACTCGGATGTGTACAGTAGATTATGCACCTTTTGTCCCACATAAGTGAGCGTTCAAACTTGGGGTCATCTTGTAAAATCTAGCTCTTCCATTTTCCTGTTGTAGTCAATTTTGTCCAGTATGACAACTCCATCGCCTTTTTTATGTTGTACATGGTACAACTGTAGTTTATCTTAAAGACTACGCCCACCTCGAACCTTAAAAGTTTGTACTAGCTCAAATAACCTGCAATAATCATTGCAGTACCAGTGAGGTACAACTAAAACTCTTGATTTATCCTACCCTGAATCAATTACTGTAACTGAGTACTAAAGTATACTGTTGATTGTTGAATTTCATATTCCTTGAACCTTAATTAATATCTATAGTATACTGTCACACTAATTTTATGCTCCTCACCCTGAATTAAAAGTATTGTTACAGTTATGTAAGAGAGGTGTCTATATATAACAACACTACAGTTTCAATGACCACAAAAATTGTGCAAAACTCGTTAGGTTATTGGGGATCCAATGTAATGAATGACTCCCCCACGCATGTTCTAAAAAGTATAAAGGAATTATCTTAAATTTTACTTAGAATAATTTTTATGTGGTTGTCAGCACAATTTGTAAATATTTTTCGTAAGATAACGACTTTGAATTCCGTCGATGTATAAATAAAGATAGGGACCCTATAAATAAAAGCGTTGTTGTTTCTATAGTAGCTTCTAGCCCTCTGCTTTTATAAAGTTTCTATAATTATTGTTAATTGTAACGTTTTTGGTGGAGCTAGTATACAGTAAATAAATATCTAGTTCAAATAATTAATGAAGACTTGTTAATTTCTTTGTAGGCATTCGTGAATCCTCTTCAAGGAATATTTAACTATTTCCTTTACCGTCGCGCATTTAGAGTAACAGCAACAGACACTCGACCTGAACCCAATGCCTTACCTCGTGTTAGAGTAACTCCATCGTTAGATCATTATAGTGGGAGTAGCAAACTACCATCCAAAAACTCACGAAATCAGACTTTACAAAGAATTACTTCTTCAATGTCAAGTCATGACGAGGAGTCGCCGCTTATCAGACCGCGAAATGAAGCTTCTGGTCCTCATTATGTTTATATCAGTAAACTGTTAGGAGAATGAATTTCGGGTATTGTTAACTACAGGGAAAGAAGCACCATTATGTTCCACTGGGGGAATATACATTCAATAAGCTAAGTTCGGAGTTGCAACTGTGCGCCAACTGAGTGGGGGATAAAACATCACTGTTCTTATAAAACACGTGGCCAAACACGAATGATTTAAATAGAAAAAAGTTGTCAAAAAACCGAGCCGTTTTTACAACACTCTGCACTCCAAAGTTGGGTTGACCCACTTCAAATTACAAAAATTTTCACTTATAATATACACTTTCCTTATTCAGCCGGCCATGGGAGAAAAGGTGTAAGAATTAATCAATATATAGGAAAACTTTATTAAACTAAGGTATGGATGCATGGGTGACAGAACAGTTGAACAGTTTGATACCCATACTGTATTTTAAATCGTCCAATCTCAGCTATACTTAATTGATGTGATCCTAATCCAAGCTCAGAACGTGACATTTTTATTCACAGTCAAAACTCTGAACTGACTTATAATTTATTCCGGGAGAGTGAACACCGCGTGTATTGTTGTATACAGGGGATCCAGCAGAGGCACAATGAATTGAACATTCATGATAGTTTTATTCACAAGACTTTGGGAGACGTTAACGTATAAGGCCAATGTGCCTAGAAGACCATACATACCAGCCTAATGGTAATAATGTTTGACTAGAATATTCAAAAAAGATGAAACTGTTTTTGCTATAAATGTTAAATATAGCATAAATATCATAATGATAAATGTAGTTCATAATGATGAAATTATCTATAGTGACGGGTGACGTCATTCACTGCGAAGGTATATATATTCACTGCATGAAGTACGGTATATGTGAATTAGAATAACCATAACTAAGTAACTCATTATTATGCATTAAGTGGCGCCGCCCGCCAAATACGATGAGAACTGTAGAATCCCCAACATTAAAAAAAAAATAGCTATTTATAGAATTTATTTTCGTTACCCCTGTGCATTTATCATATTTTCGCCATATTCAACAAGGTAAACACCATAGAGTTATAAATAACCTTTATGGCAAAAACAGTCTTCTTTGAATATTTTAAACAAATATTTATTTATACCATGCAGCTTAGCCATTGTGGGCTTCCCGCGTACCAAAGAATCGAGAATGAACATCGGTTTTTCACAGGGTCAGGAGTAAACATGGATGTATAATTTACGTATATAATTTTATCATAATAACAACACCATATATTTTTGTTTGCAAGAAAACGAACACAAGTGAATGATTAGAATCTGGAAAAATAACAACAGAGGGTTTTTATGCACTCAGAGAAGAGTGGAAAATTAGACACTGAATTATATTTATACAAAGTACGTGCTACAATTACATTAGACAAATGATTATTAAAGTACATAAATCCTTTTTTACACCAGAGCTGTGCGTTTAATTTAAAAGAAGTACGCTTAGATTTGAAGTTAGCCAATCCCGGCGTAACTTTAGCCCGGGCCCCCGGCTTTAACTGAAACGTTTGCTTCACCTAATGTGGAAGCTGTGGCACCATTAAGATTTGGTTTTTCTTTAATTTAAGAAGAAAACTTTTCAATATTTTTCAGGAGAATTTTAATAGACAGTTTTATTCAGTACGCTTAACAACCATCCTCAGACATGAAAAGCTAGTTTTATATTTATTCTGTGGAAAACTAGTTTCATGATTTTATAAATTGTTTTTTACATATTTTTCCTAAATATGAAAAACTAGTTTTATAGTTTTTTATAAGGTATGGTAGGCCTATAAACAAAGAAGTGATGATTCAGAAAATATAAACTGGGCTATTTAGTTATTATTTCGTAAACGCCCCTCCAGGGAGCCTTTCTGACAAGGGCTCTCCGGTTTTTGCTGGTCAGAGCCCGATAGTACGCCACTGAGTATAATATAGTCTTTTGTATATTAATCTAATGGATCAAAGTCGACCTTGAGACCGTTTTTCATCATGGTCGTTCTGACTGTGCAGAACGGGGTCCTAAACACGTTACATGTGTAATTAGCCATTTCCCAAAGTGCTGAGTCTAGTCGCGCAAATCCCATGTTGGAGGGACAAGAAATATGGCAGCACACATTTAAATTAAAAGTTTAATGTAAAAAGGAGATATTTCAGTTTTGGTCATCTAAAAAGTTGATATTTGATAGTAGCTAGATACTTCTACTCTTTCACATATTTGACGCCTGTCACCGTATATTTTGTCCCTCCTAACGATCCCAGAATGCACTGTGATCTCTTTTGGGAAAATTAGTCGCGCGTGCACGACCAGAAATTTCAATGCAGTTCGACTTTCATGGCATGCACGTGAGGGCGAAAGCGAACTGAAAACTGTCAAGTGGACAGCTACAGCACATGTTGAAAAGTGTTCGCTCGCCGCGCGGGCAATGCGACCGTAATGGCAAGCAAACAGGGCAACGAAGACGGCTATATATCATCTCGTAGAAAAAAAGAATAATGATCTTCTCCTTGCATATATTAAACCGCAATCAATCGGCAAACTGTCTGTCAGGTTTATAGCTTGGTTTTCTGTGCTGCCGAATAATAGTACAAGATCATGCAGTCAAAGCCTTTATAGCACATATTAATTGTTTTAAACATTTTTTAATAATTAACAAGAAAAACGATTAATTAATAACTATATTACATTTAGCACAGAAAAGATGGGGGTATTACTAACGCCAATTAAAGCCCCACGGGGGTTAGAGATGTTGTCCTATTTACAACCGCAAACCAGAGGTATTCATGTTTGGGGTGGAACGCATGCAAGCATTCAAGCAGCGATAAGTTTTACTAAAAATTGGTCCAGTGGAGGAACCATTTAAAAGCTTTGTTTTAATCTCCTCAAACTGTACATGGGCATTAAGTTCATACATTTAACAAATTTATTTGGATCAATCTGTATACAAACATGCGAATATTTATACACTGTAAAACGCAGACATTTTAAAGTTAGATCCAAAAAAGGCAAGGCAAAGTACGAACGGGACTCTTCAAAAAGTTGCCATGAAAGGCACCTGCCGTCCAATTATATTATTATATGTACAATTACATATATATACCCACAAAATAAACACAGACAGGTTACACACAAACGCTTAAAGATAGACTATTAAAACACACATTCTTGATTTATCTGTGAAAAAGATAATTTATTAAAACACACATTTACGACTTTGCGCTACCAAAGCGAAGAGCAGAATGAACCAGATGCGCATTCTGCTATAAATATGTATCACCTCTCCCTTCCGTTTTCCTGCACGCATTACATTCATGTGATCAGAAAATTACGGGAAAATACCCATGTGTCCCATGTCAAGTTTGTCTATTTATATATCCTAAGCTCAGGAAGCAATAAAATCTTCATTGGTATGCCAATAATTCCTTTATCTGTCCAATACGATGAACAATGAACTCTTTTTCACAATAATTTGTTTCAAGAAGTTTGTTTTGCTTGTCGTTGCCGCTTTGCCGTCTGTTTCCTCCGCAGAGGCTTACATGACATTTTTAGTGAGCTCGCAGGGCTTCCCATCACTCTCCGCGCGCTCGCTTTACTCTGTCTGGAAACGTCATGTACGTTATCCCCGAGCCGACGGCGCGAAGCGCCGTGCGAGGGTACTAATCCCCCCCGGCTATTTACACCCGGAGAAACGAAAGCATTAGCGAAGTCTAAAGTTCATCAAATATCGCGGGCGTGGCTCACCAATGATGTTTCGGTGGGTGGTCATCCTCACTGATCTCAAAAATATGGCGGACTGTCATGAATTGCGGACGCTGATTGGTCCAATTTAAAGTTTGCATTATAACGACTGCATGACGACAGCGAAATAGCAAAGTAAGCAAAGTTAGCAAACATTTCCTGATCTTATTCTTGTGATTTGATGATTGATAAATTTCTTGCAAATATATTCCATTTTTGCGAGATTTTGTAAATTTGAAAAGCTCTCTTAGAAAGAAACTGCGAAAGAATCGGCTAATAGAAGGGAGCCGACGTTAACGAAGGTAAGTTTGTTTTAAATATTGATTTTATAATGGTTTAAAACCCGACGGCCTTCGCGTATAATCGTATATGAAACAACTAAACAAGACAGCATATAATTCACCAGTGTATCTTTAATATTGATTCCCTTTTTTATGATATTGAACTTTTTAAATAAAAAAAGAAAGCCAAGTTATTTGCAAGCGAGAATTTGAAATCATTTTATTGCAAACACAAAGTTTATCGATAAAGCCATTTTAAAAATAAAAGGCAGGTATTTAGTTTTATAAAGAACTCTAGTGACTTTAAAACGTTTTGCGAAGCGTTTGTGGTTGAATTTTACCTTAAATTGAGGCTTATATTACGTATAATAACATACCTAACATATATATGTTGGGAAATTAATAATTTTGTAATTAAAAGTGATATTTTTAGGCGATTTTTCATTTGTAAGAATATTCTTAAAAAATTATCGTGTTACCATGACAACTACTTTAGATACTTCATGTTGGGAAAATACAATGGTTTTGTCAGCAAAGCGAGGGTTTCTGCATGTATGTATTTTCTAGTTCGTAAATACTTAAAGTGCCTATGACATGAAATTTCACCCCAAATGTTTATGGTTGCATCGTAAAGATCACTTAAAATGACTTAATAATTTATTTTATAGAATTTTCGTAACTTGCTTCCTTTTCAAGATATTCAACTTTGTTTCGTATGCAAATATCACCGGCGTGACATCACATCGCATAATGAGTTTTCTGAAAAGTATAGTTTTCTTGACGAATACGTACCTAAAAAACTTAAAAATTGCCCTTGTACATGTACTTATTTCATAACTGGTAATTAACCTTCTGTATTTGTTTTTAAAAATATTTTATCAAGGTAAAATATTGCGTTTTCAAAATGTCATTATGCGATGTGATGTCACACCGGTGATATTTGCATATGAAACAAAGTTAAATATCTTGCAAAGGAAGCAAGTTACGAAAATTCTATAAAAGAAATTATTAAGTCATTTTAAAGGATCTTTACAATGCAATCATAAACATTTGGCGTGAAATTTCGTGTCATAGGCACTTTAAGGAGCATCCCTTATATAATGTGACCAACATCTGGGGACGTTTGTCAATTGAGTTGTATACGTATTGATGAAGATTTTTGTCCACTACATAGAGTTAAACATAATTATTAAATTAAGTTTTAAAGCCCCGTTTACACGAGCAAATTTTATTTGACAAATTTCATATGTCAAAGATATTTTGCTCGTGTAAATGACAAATTTGTGACAAATTTATTGTGACAAATGCATTTGAACATACAAATCAAATGCATTTGATCAAATGAAATTTGTCAAATAAAATTTGCTCGTGTAAACGGGGCTTAAGTTAAAATATTGGTAATATAGCATCAACTAAATTATCCTTTCCCAACTTCCACCAGTATTGATATAACTATATGTCAATACGGAAAAAAGTTTTATATTTTTTTATAATATAGCAATGTCAAAAGCCTGAAGGATTCCGTGTTTACAAGCGGCAGAAAATTTCCCGTGTTGACATTGAGTTATATCAACACGGCTCTTAGCCAATCAGCGTTCAGAATTTACAAATGCTATATTATAAAACTATATATCAATACGGAAAAAATGTTTTATATTTTTTTTATAATATAGCAATGTCAAAAGCCCGAAGGATAAGAAAAATTTCCGTGTTTACAAGCGGTGGAAAATTTCCCGTGTTGACCTTGAGTTGTATCAACACGGCTCTTAGCCAATCAGCGTTCAGAATTTACAAATTCTATATTATAAACTGACTTGATATTCAAAACTCCAATGTACATTGAGCATTCAGCTTCACATTATATATACTAAGAATATGTACAGCACATAGAAACAAATTACATTTTACCATGTAAAAACGCCGTCAAAAACGTGCTATAAAATACTGAACGGGTTAGCATTGAGTCATTCCTGTATTATCTGCAACGTCGACCAGACTGTTTCTTCCATGCATTACTTCATAAACGTCTGTGCCAGGTTTGGTCGTGGGTGTTTGGTAGTGTGGATTATTGTTGCCGTTTGGGACATTCTGATACGAAGTGCGTGGCGGTTGGTTACCTGTATTCATTGGAGAAACGTCATATGCAGGGTTGGTGTCCTCCTTTGGTATCATTGTGTCGTATGGGTTACCCGGGCTTTTGTAGTGAGATTGTGGTGTATCATAGGATGTACTAAGTGCGGTGGACAATGGTGTATCAGAACCACTCTGTTCAGGAGGCATGGTTGGTGAATTAGAACTTTCCAAATCTACCACTTGATAAGGATTTGTGTTTTCACTACCTTTGGTATACAGTGGATTGAAAGACGATGTGGAAGCGCCCTGGTATACGGGTGTCTCGTAAGCACTGTTTTTAGGAGGTACGTTTGGTCGATTAGAAGTTGTCAAAGACGAAACGTCGTAATGATTTATATTTTCATTACCCTTGATATGACCTGGGTTGAAGGCTGAAGTGGAAGCGCCCGGGTCTACTGGTGTCTCATAAAGAGTACTTTGAGAAGGTTTGGTTCTAAGACCAATTTCTTTCTTATATTGGTTTTGTACATCCTCAATTGAACAGTATGTGTGACATTCTCCAGATTCATAAAGTGGATTGTTTTTATCGCCTGAAGAAATATCCACTTGCTTTCCACCATTTGGTAGAATACGGACTTTATCAGGAGACTGAAAACTAGAAAGTGAATATAGAACATTCTTCAAAACTCTACATACCTATTTATCATTGTAAATAGGTATATTGTGACAAATAAAATAAAACATACCGCTCACAGTACGGTGGCGACACCAATATTTCAACTTGCTCAAATGATAAATATCTTAGGCTTTTAAAATTGGATGTTTTAATTTAAGAGAATTTTCGCCTGTCTACTCTCATGAACTTGCGGTTTGTCGTCCCTAACATTAAATATTTGATTTGATATAAAAGTTAGGGGCGGATGTAGCCACAAGGAGGAGTGCAGGTTTTCCATGGGTAGTGCATGAGGGGGAGCCAGTACTGCCCACTCTCCTCTGCAGTCTGCAACGCTACTTTCCCAACATTACCATTATTTGAGATGGCCGATTCTACATGTTTGCCGTTACGTTTTACATTATCTTTTGTTCATAAAGTTTATATCGGCTTTGTGACACGTATGCGTGACTGGACAGTTGCTGTAGCAGAGTACAGTAAATTTGCTTGTTATAGAGTACATTGAAAATATGGGTGTATGCCAACCTTGACATGTTTACGTATTTAACCATGGTAACTACCCAAAGCGTTTTTGTTTTTTTTGTGAGCTCACAAATCAATGAAATCATTTCAAAAAACCGACACGCGCTAACAGTAGAAGTTCCGCTAATCCCTATTCGAAAATGTAGGGGTGCGCCACCCCCTACACCCTCACGGTATAGATCCGCCCCTGATAAAAATTATTTAGAACGAGGCGGATGCTTACACAGAGAAATGAAAAGGTTCTGAAATGGTCGGTTTGTGGATGAAGAGTCATATAAATAAGAGCAAAAGATAATGGTGTAAGACACTAACTTTCAAATGATGAGCCTGGTTTAAAATAATTAATTTCAATTCTTTAATTTTATAAAACATTTCCAATTATTTGACCTAAATAGCATACTTGGACAAGTCAGAATGTTGGTGTTGTCACTTACCAGAGGCAAATGCTTGGTTATTTTGATCAGTCAAATATCAATGGATTAAAACGATAGGATATAGTGATTTCATCCAGCATAAAAGTCAGAAACCTGCACCGTAACTAAAGCTAGCGTTGTATACCACAAGGGAAAGAGAGCTGTGGTAAGAACACTCCACACTTTATAATTTTTACCTTGCATTATATTCTGGATTTGAATGTTGATTTCCCCCGTTTGTCGACCTTTGTGTTGAATTATCTTTGCTTTGTCTGACGTAAAGTAGAACAAATAACATGAAAAAGATTACATGACAGTAGTTGATTGTTTGGAATGCTTAAATGTGTTCTAACGTACCATTTAATTTTTTTTAAATAAAAGTATATGGAGAAACTGGTCACAAAGCCAACAAGACACTGGGTCTCATTAAAATGATAAGCAGGGGCATAACTGATTTCGCTACAAGGAGATTATTGTACTGCACGCTCGTCAGACCCAAGTTAGATTGTGCTAGTAACGTGTGGTCACCCAGTGCCGCTAAACATCGATCATTAATCGAGAACGTTCAGCGGAGAGCAACTAAGTTTATTCTAAATTACCCAAATGAAATGACGTACACGGAAAGATTGATCACAACCAACATTATATTTATAAGTTATAAAATTTATTTGTGGAATGTCATTACATTACACAAATAACTTTTATAACTTATAAATCTAAGTAAAACCAGGAGGGCTGTAAGAAGGTAACTTAGATACATAATGTTTACGCATATTAATTTTGAAAGAGTTAAGCGAACCACAGGTTTTTAGATTTGCTGGTAGACTGTTGAACTGTTCCACAGACTTGCAGATCTGACAAAGAACGAGTTTCTAAAGTACTGCTGTTTATGTTTTAATGTGCTTGTTGCTCACTTGATCTCATGGCCTTCCTGAGGCTCCTTACACTTTACAACAAGAAATCGTGAAAGGAACCGATCCTGTTGCAAAATAAGTTTTGGGTTTGGCTAGTGATTTGTTTCGAGAAATAGTTAGAAATATTGATATATTCGCTTACGAATGACTATAATTCCTATGTGTACCTGCAGTCCTTTGTCACGAAATCATGAGGAAAGTCATTGTGCTCGGTGTGCAACAAGCAGCAAAGTCTAGTTTTAATGTTGGGGACAGGTGTCAATGGGACGCAAGTCCTGTTCCTTTCCTCAGTCCCACTTGTGTCCTCTGTTTATTGTAGATGTATGCGTAATGATTGTGTTGTGACAAATGATTACATTAAATTAAATTAAATTACCTTCGTCGATAGAAGAACATAACGATGAAAACAGCTACTAAGAATGTGATACACACTGGAATAACAATGGCTAGAGCTGTGCTTGGATTATTACCCCCAGAGCTATTATCTTGTTCATCTTTAATACCAGGTATGGTTGTTAATTGTACTTCTTCAGACGTGGTAATTTTCATAACAGGTTTTGTAGTCTCTGGAATGTCAGACGAAGATACATCTGGAAGAAGTGTTCCTATATCTGGAGGTGAGGTTACATCTGTTTGTGTTGATACCTTGGTGGTAGCTGCCATTGAGGTTTCTATGCTCGATGCTGAGGTGGTGGGTAGTTTTCCTGTTGTGGTTGTTTTTCTCACTGATGTTGATAATTTTGATGTTGTTAGTATTTGGGTTGTTGGTTGCGTTGTTTCTGGTGGCGTTGATGTCATTGTTGATGGTGATGTTGGTGGTGGTGCTGGCGAAGTTGTTGGTGACGTTGATGGTGTTGGTGGCATTGGTGATGTTGTTGTTGTTGGTGGTGGTGATGTTGTTGGCAAAGTTGTTGGTGATGTTGTTGGTGACATTGTTGGAGACGGTGGTGATGTTGTTGGCGAAGTTATTGGTGATGTTGTTGATGACATTGTTGGAGATGTTGTCACTAATGCTGTGGATGATTTCATGGTGGTTTTACCTGTTGTAATATCCGTAGTGGGAGGGGCGACTGTAATGCCTGGTTGGTTGTCTAAAACATACACACAGATATTTTTAAATTAAATTTCACTGTAGAAAATCCGTTACTAATAAAAAGAAAATTTACTAGTGATGAAACTATCCTATCTGGAAAAGATTGAACTCGATTCGACGTTTGAGCAAAGACCCATCTAGTCCACCGGATATGTACTAGTTTTTGGTAGAGCTTTCTTCATAACTTGCCACAGTTCTAGCATTTGATGTCACAAAAAGATTAAGATATGGAGGCATCTCAGATTTGCTCATGGTTAAAGTTCACTTGTAGATATTAGCTGTATCATTGGAAAGATCACAAAAAGCTATGTACAGTATATACAGTATAGTGTCTGAGTAGTCTGTATGGACAGTGGCGTAACTACTATGGGCTCGGACGGGGGGCCTCCAACCCCAATGGGCCAAATGGGGCCCCCAGGCTCAGGCTGTAGAGCAAAAACATTGGCCAGGGCCTCTGATATGTCACAATGTAGTTTTCTGACCATCAGAATTCATCTCACCCCAAAGTCGGGGAAATGGTATTTCAAAGAGCCTAGATTCAAATATTTTCCGGGTGAGCATGCCCTGGACCCCTAGAAAACTCGTGCATATCCGGAGGGGGGGGGGGGGCTGATATAACGTTACGCCACTAATATGGAGTTACATAAATGTTGTTAAACCCAGGCCGCAAGAAAAAACATTTTGTGGTATTTTTGTATCATTTTCCTTATGTTTGGGAGTTAATAGCTCAAAATTGGCTTGGGAAATCGTACTACTCACTTTATATTTCCAATAATACAGATGATTTCCTGCCTCGTCCCCAGGCGCTAATAAAAAAATTTCATGCGAGTCACTATATGAAAGGTTTACATGAAGTAGTGCATCGCGCAGGGAGTTATGCTCATAGAGATTATAAATAACACTAGAGGAGGCATCGAGTTTAAAAATTGGGAACGCAGCTAATGGGGGGCAAATTCAAGTCCCGGATATAAAATCGTGCTCTCATTGGCTGATTTGAAACTCTTCACCAATGGGAACACAAATACACATCCGGGACTTGAATTTGCCCCCAATAGTCGCGTTCCCTTTTTTTTACTGAATTAAGATTACAATGCCTCCTCTAGTGTTATTTATAATCTCTATGGTTATGCTAACCAGAACGCTCATATCCCACTCCCCTTTGCGCGCCTATAATGTGACGCACTACTATGTAAACCTTTCATATAGTGACTCGCATGAAATTTTTTAATTAGCGCCTGCAGACAAGGCAGGATGATTTCTATAGTAAAAATGAACTTGAAATTTCATATATAGGGGTTTATTAGACAATTAAAAAAAACGGTGTTTTTTCGCAACCATTACCAAATCTGAAATACCCCCATTCTGAAACACCACGATATCAAGTCTTTTTGTAGCATCAAGTGCTGTAAATGTGCAAAATTTAGTGCTTTCTTCATAAAGTGCACGATTTTCAGACCTGTCCGCTGGACTAATTGTCAGGGTGTCGTGTAGGGTGTTCACTGAAAATTTTCAAAAGTTCCTTTTGTATTTTTTGTTGTATAAATTCGTATATTTAACCTCGAAACATGAAATGTTTTCACGTAGTTCAAAGACAAACCAGGGCAGTACACATGCAAGTTTGATATGCTTTCGAAAATGATATAAAAACCAACATACTTTTGAAAGTGGCATGATAAGCAACTGTAATTCCCATTTGCAAATTATTTCCCGATTTGACCAACATAAACAGATGCGTGCCGGTGGATGTGATACTGCCGCCTGTCACTGTTGTAGTACCACAGTATCTTGCTATCGTTGGTGCTTGATCATTGGGACCATCATAGATCTCAATAAAGTTGCCTTTCGAGCAGTCAGGTACAGACATTGAGTTAAAAGTAAGACTGATGTTTCCATATTTGACGGACAATAACCAGGAACAATGTTGAAAATCTTGGTTTGGAGAAGTTAAAATAGAAATCGACGACGGAGATTCAGCATTTATATTTTTAAATTGGCATCCTGGAAAATAAAAGATATCAACAAGATAAAACAAGGGCAGTGAACGTTTAAAAAGTTGCCGACAAGGGAAAAGTACAGCATATCAACATTATTGGAAGATTGTTTTTAAAGGTTTAGATGTTTTCTATTCTAGATATATAGATTAAAAACTATGGTTATATGACCTTGCAAAGATTGAAAACTAAGGACAAATCGTGGAAGTACTATTTCCGTATAGATATTAAATCGTCCTGTAGAGAATATGATCTGCACATATTAATTCGGGAGTAGTTTCTACGAGTACATGGAAAAAAGACAAGGTTGGATTGTATATTCTGACATAGGTGCAATCAATTGTTTGGCAATGACTTTGCAGTATTTTGGACCATTTTTGACCAGTGAGGCCAAAATAATAGAAATGAAACTTTGCTAACAAACCCGAAATGGCTGCTGATTATAAAACAGCAGTATATCTGACAGTCCCTCAAAGCACTGCGAAAATTGCGTACTGATCCATGGGAGTGTTCTAAGCTCGGCTCTAACAGACCATTTAAAGGAGGGAAAGACCAATATTCCGTTATCAACATGATAATCACGAGCGAGACAAATCGGAAGATCGAATTTAATATAATGCCCTTCTCACGCCCAGATTTACTCCATTTTTTGGCTACTGCCTCCGTGCTCTCCGAAATCAGAGAATGTACGCATCAATGTATATATAGTTGTGTGTATAAGGATAAATTGACAGTTACAACGTTGAAAAGTCGCTTTCCACATTGTTTAGAAAAAATTCGCGGTAGAAAATAGTGTTTAGGAAACTTGCTATAATGTAAAACGTATATACGTACCTTCATAATAGCAATAATAAACGGTAGGTAAATTACTTTGTTTGTTTTCTGCATACACATGACTCCCCTTAAAACTATCCATGTTTTGATTATTGTCCGTATCATATGTTATAAACTGCAGTTTACTAATAGCCCACTTCACACGTTGACAATTCTTAGATTTGTATGGTAGCAAGAAGATTGGTACACCAACTGGTAACTCGATTGGATAATACCAATTACCCTGGTCACGACAGCAATACTTTATCTCTGTATCAATACCATATGTACCATCTGGTAAAATACCATCTTCTTCATTTTTTCCGCCGTCATTGTCGTCCCAATGTATTGAGCCGACAGTCATACCAACCGGACAAGGGTTTTTCTTGTAAATACAGTATGATCCTTAAATTGAAGAAATACATTTAATGTATATCTGTCTATATCATGTCTATACTGTATGCATGCAGTATGGTGACTAAGATTAACGGACCGATAAGCACTTGTTTATGCCAATTTGGCAGTTTGTATTTTTGTTCCATTCGATGTCTATATTATAACAGGCCAAACTAGGTAGCTAAGAAAAATTGTAGAAAAACGGTAGAAAATTACCGGATAAAATCCAGCCTGCCTGCGTGGCATAGCTTCCGTGTTATCCTGCCCCCTCCCCCCCCACACATACACACACACTCTGAAACAGGCTCCGCGGTCCCTGAGAATACGAAAATATAATCATGGAGGGCTATTATCTCTAACTCTAGTATTTTTAAAGTTGAAAGTTTTACTGCATACCAAGAAAAGGCTTTTCAATTTCATTCTTAATATTATAAACGAAAAGGATGTTTTCGTAAATCTCCCAAGTCACGCAAGAAAATCACTTGTTTATCAAGCTTTATCAAAGCTATTCGATGTAATATTTGGTGGTAAACATTTAGTAGTGTCAAGTGGATTCGAGAGCGATGAAGAAGCGAAGGCATTGAAAGAAGGGAAATATTACATATTATATAATGGAACACCAGGGTCATTGTTGAAGACCGAACGACGGAGACAAATGCTTCCCAACAAAGTGTATAGCAAAATGGTTTGTGCTTTGGCTATTGATGAAGCTCATATGATTAAACAATGGTATGTATTTACAGCATAATAAATCCTAAAAATGTGTTCGGTTTTGTAATTCTCAAACCCACAGGAATCAATCGGCCTTGGCCATTTTATAATGGTCTTATTTTATATTGTCTTAAATTTGTCTTTTTATACGTTGCCCTCGTATTATCTATTGCTGTAGTACAAGCAAGTTTATATGATGGCCACCATCAACATCACACACCTCAACCCTCTCATGTAAACCCTTAATAACTATTTTTTTTAGTACTACCCTTCAGAATTTTACATATTACATATTACACTTTTTACCCAGCCCTTGAGAAAAAATAGGTACGCTGTAGCGTTCATGGCGTCTACTGGATTAAAAGCGAAGTCAACGATCACACGAGCATCATCAATAGCCAAAGCACAAACCATTTTGCTATATACTTTGTTGGAAAGCATTAGCCTCCATCGTTCGATATTCAGCAATGACTCTGGTGTTCCATATAATACAGAATATTTTCCTTCTTCCAATGCCTTCGCTTCTTCATCGCTCTCAATTCCACTTAAAGGCCTGATTCCACGAGCGCTTTTTCTCGGCGAAATGCGAAATATTTCGCCTGTTTCTTTTGAATTGCGACTACTCGAATAAATTATTTCTACTTGATTGATCACAGTTCAAAAGAAACAGGCGAAATATTTCGCATTTCGCCAAGAAAAAGCGCCCGTGGAATCAGGCCTTAACGACACAGGGCTGACACCTAGATCGCGTAGCTTTTTACTTTATCTCGCATTAAATTTATCAATGGCGAAACCACGATTACTAAATTTTTAAATACTACCAAATATTACATTGAATAGCTTTGGTAAAGCTTGATAAATAAGTACTAATTTTGCTGCTCCAGAAAACATCCTTTTCGTTTATAATAGAATTAAAAGCCTTTTTCTGATGCGCAGTAAAACTTTCAACTTTAAAAATACTACAGATAATAGCCCTCCATGATTATATTTTTGTATTTTGGGTTTTCCATGTGAAGGTAGTAGATCTTTCAATTATCGTGTAGATGATTGTGATTGGTTAATTGCCGGGACGATGATTGCATAAGTGAATGTGCAGTGGAATGTGAGCAGACGTTAGGTGGGGCCTAGGTACGCTGGCCACTAACAACGTCTGCGCAGCTACTAGGTAGCGTGCATATACCATAGATATCTTATATACACTAGATAGCGCATCTCTTTTAGTAAAATTGAAGCCAACAATATTCCAGCGGTTACCCCCATTTGAATAGATGGCGGCCATGTTGGTCGTTCCCACTTGCTAGTAAACGCTTAAAAACAACAATAATTTTCATCATTTCAATATTTTAAAAACGTATTTGGAATAGGGTTAACTTAATGTTTAAGTTCCCTGTTTAAGAAATAGAAAACATACGAATCTTCTAATTTCATGGGAACGACCTGAGACTGCAATCACGGCTTCAATTTTTGAATTTCAGAATAATTAGATGCACTATCTAGTGTATATAAGATATCTATGGCATATACATGTTATATATAACACTGCAAAAACCAGCAAACTGCAACAGGAATTACAATTGTTGTAATAACGGACGTAAAACTATTATTGGAAATTTATTGGAAATTTAAAGATGCTGTAAAGTCTGTAATGTAAACAAACGCTTTCTTTACATTTTGAACTCGGTGCTGCAGTTGTAAAATATGATTAGATATATATTATACTGAATTTTTAACACTCTTCTGATTCGCTATGCTTGAAAATGAATACAGACTAGAGATTCAATTCAAGAAAGTTCTGAATGTGCGAAATATAAATAACATTCCAATGATCGGCCATTGTCGGCCTGCGCAGAACGGACTTTACAGCATCTTTTTAAAATGCCTGTGGTGTTACTCTGAGTGTATATCCACACCGGGCAAACTTGAAAAATATGCCTGACCGCGGTGGGAATCGAACCTACGACCTTTGGAATACTAGGCCAATGCTCTGCCAACTGAGCTACGCGGTCTGGTCGGTTCGAGTATGTGACCGACCAGACCGCGTAGCTCAGTTGGCAGAGCATTGGACTAGTATTCCAAACGTCGTAGGTTCGATTCCCACCGTGGTCAGGCATATTTTCAAGCTTGCCCGGTGTGGATATACACTCAGAGTAACACCACAAGCATCATATTCACCTGAGTACATTACACCAACACAGAAAAATCATGATCTTTTTAAAAGTTTAAATGTTGTGTATAATTACTAGTGAAGTATCAGCCTAAAACTATAGCCTACATCTTCTACTTCCGTTTGCGATGTCACAAGCGTTAACCTACACATGTTTACCAGCCCATTCCGACCTGACAAACCACCTGTCCAGAAAAACGTCCTGAGCTATGAAATATTGTAGGTCGGAGGGATCATAGAGTATAATAAGCTGTATACTACCTACCAACTGGCCACGCCTTATTTTTTCCATTACTGAATGTTTTCATACAAAAGTTTCGTTTGATATATCTTCCAGCTTGATTTAGAACTGCATCCATATTGAACGGAGAGGAGAAAGCACTTTGAAAGGTACCATCGCGTTCCATGTCTTGTTTCCTTGAGCCTTGCACCCAGCCTGCAGGACAACTATCATTCGTTTTTGGCAAACCATAAGTCCCAGATGGCCATGTGGGTTCTAGAAAAGAAATATATTGCAATCTTAAATTATGAGTGCCCCTATACTTTTCACGTGAAGCGTGATGGCGTTATTTTAGCCTACTTAGCCGTGAAACGTGATTGATGATTATCTTAATCCGTGATTCTTGATCGTATGGTTTCAAGGCTTTTTTAATTAAGTGCACGTGAAAGAACGTTTCGATTTAACCGCGATCCGTGAATTAATGAAGGATGGAAATAGACGTGATTAATGAATCGTTGACTTTGCATGAATATTTTCAAGATTATGACCATTCAAAAGGTTGTGGGGCCGGGTTGAACCAGGCAGACTTTGTAATCTTTTTATGGCATGAAAAATCCATTCCTAGCGCAAAAGTGTTTAAAAATTAAAAGATCAACTCAGTCTTCCAGTCAGCGAATCCTTTAAAAAAAAATGGCACGTAACTTTCTATTAATTATAGCATCTTTATTTTAGTACAAACCACCATGACTGTGTTTAACCGTTTGCCTTCATAATGGAAATTATAGGTAAAGTACTTTATTTAAAAAGGTCTAAGGGCTTTTAATAAAATAGCCAGGATG